AATATTATGTCTATTTCGAACATTCTCATCGCGAAAAATATGCATCAATTCTGTAGTAGGAAGATCGAGTTACAACAGAATGAATAATAATTCCGAGAGTACACTCAGTGGACTTACAGGCAATGGACCTAGTGAATCGATGCGATTCACGTTATTTATTATTTATTAATTAAATAAACTATCAATATCAGTATACTAAATATCAATCAAACACTCTTTAGGGGAATTTAAAATTGCCCTATAGGGGAAGTCAAAATTTTTATTTCAACTGGCATTCTTTCAGGAGAACTCGAAATTTTGATTTCTCCTAGTGCAACTCAAAATTTTGATTTCTCCTAGGGGAATTTTAAATCGCCCTAGGTTTTGATTTCCACTGCAACATATATATATAAATTCTCCTTACTTGGTCTGTTTTCTGCCTTTCTTTCTTAGATCAGTTCTTTAAATTACGTAATCTGATAATAATGTAAGAATTGTCTAGGCAGTGGAAAAGTGAAAAAGAAAAGAAAAATACGATATAAATGTAGTATGCTTGTCAAACTACAGTTTTTTTATTATCGTCTATATAAATTATATAAAAAAGAATATTCCTATGTTAAAGTTTTCTGTTCAAATTGTTTTGTTTATGTAATTTAATTAATGTTTGTATCCACTGAGAAAGATTGAACTATCAATCAAAACGTTAAGAATAAATAAAGTTAGTACGAAGAAAAAGTACTCATTAAAATTTAAAAAATTAACTTTCAAATTCTGCGTGTAGTAGCGCTTGCTATAGAAGTCTCATAACTCAATCAAGACAAACGATTTTTCGATCGGGCTTGTTTTGTTTTAATCAGAAATGATTGCTCTTCTCTTCCTAAGTGCAAAATCAACATTTCGATCATGTTTTTCGTTTCTTGCTCGGGCACATTGTTGGAAACGGGGAATTGTCAATTTCTGACGTATTTTTGAAACTACGTTCTTAAGCACACTTCATTAAAATTTAGGTATGGCTTTGTAGAGTATTTCGCGGCGCCTCTTTTAAAAAAACCCTGACTTTAGGCTCCCAAAGAAACACAAGAAAAATAGAAAATATTAAGGCTCATTCTTTCTGTCGCACCCGTTACAGCAGGGAGCAGTAGAATTTTGTAGAGGACACATTACTCTATCATGCATCATGTTTGACTCAAAAATGAAGAGCCTTTCTAAAATGATCCCTTAAGGTATCAGTAAATACAACTCACAATAACACGCATAACACATAATTAAGTAATAGTTTGCAAAATTATATAGATCAAGTTGTATACGGTTTTGTGATGGTTTTAACATCGATCATTCTATAAATAACATCAATAAATAATTAACAATGGTGGTACAATGAACAAAAGATTCAGTCAAAACGAAAATAAAAATCACGATTTCACTTGAAGTATCTGTTAGAATTTTCATCCTGATTAGACCTAAAGGTGCTATCGTTGCTTAGTCTTCGAAACTGTTTTGATTATGTTACCACTTCTTTGCCATGAGGATTTTTAAACCAAGCAATCGCCGATATATCGCCATAAAGGCGTTGATAATGGTACCTATCGCGATATCGTCATTGTTTACCGCGATAAATTCTACGTCGTGATCTATCAGACGGTTCTGACAGATCGTGATGTAAGTTATTACTGCGTTATCTCTATGATTTATCACACTGCAAAACAATGTTTCGTTCGCCGCGATAAATATTTATCGATCAACATCGTGATACTGATTCGTATTGCGATTAATTGTAGAAATATCCGAATAGAAGAAGTAGTTAGATAAATCGTAATGCCTTTTAATCAGAATGTATCGTGATATGCATCAATTTCGCGATATTCTACTGGTTAGTAGTCACTCTTTTTGAATCTTTATTTTTCTATCTAAATGTTGAGTTGAGTGTATGTTACAAACGGTTACTAGATTTGAAGGCAAAAATCGTCTATTTCTACGGGTGTTTGAGAATAGTCCGGAGTTTGTTAATTAAAGTTAATGTACATATTCCATGATAAGGAGCAGGAACAAACTCTTTTTTCACGTGTTTGTTAATAGTCAGATTTTTTTGTGTTAATTTACCTTATTTTTACACTCTAATCACCTTACTTATCACTAGGGCTGGCTGTTTACCATTACTGTTACTAGTAATTAGTAATAATAGATGAAAGTTTCTTACTTTGTTACTCTTCCTAAAGTAACAAAAAACAAGTTTTTTTTGTTTGCTCATAAAAGGTTCTTTGAAAACGGTTTTGTGAGGGTGAGGGTGAAATACGTGCTAACAGATGTTAAAATGTCTGATAAAGAAGTATCTGAAATATTTGTTAGCTATACTTACTCTCACCTCTCACCGTCACCTCAAACAAATATTTCAGATACTTCTTTGTCAGACGTTCTACCATCTTTTAGCTCGTATTTCACCCTCACCCTCACAAAACCGTTTTCAAAAAAGTTTTTATGAGCAAACAAAAAAAACTTGTTTTTTGTTACTTTTGGTAGAGTAACAAAGTAACCAATTAGCATCTGTTGTTACTAATTACTAGTAACAAGTAACAAATTTTTGTTACTTTACTGGTAAAGTAACACCGAGTAACAAGTAAACAGCCACCCCTACTTATCACATTACTTGTCAATAAATTCAAAAGACTCTTTCAAATATGAATCAATCTCTGTCATTGATGATAATAACAAGTTAGCCAAATATTTAGTCCGTTATGATTATAAGCACCCTAACTAGAAATAATGGGACGAACAGAAAGATTACATTTGTGCACCTCATGTAGGAAGTAAGCGTCTGGTGTACCTGCTTATAATCCCAACACGGCTAAATATTCGCTAACTTATTATTATCAGCAATGTCAGAGGCTGGTCCATATTTGAAAGATTCTTTTGAATTTGTTGATTGAATCAAATTAGAAATAAAATTAATCTTGTTAACTGAAGAGCAAAAAATAAGAAAGGACTTTCTTCGTTATTATTTGACAATTTCCTGCTTGACACGTCCTTTCCGCTATCCTCTAATCCTCTGTTCGGCTCTCCTCTATTTTTCTATCCCTCCGTTCCGCTATCCTCTATTTCTCTATTCCGTCCACCATCCTCTCTCTATTCCTCCGTTCCGCGATTTATGGATAAACAATCTTTATCGTGGTAATGAGCTACTTTATCGAAATAAAGTAATTATAGAGATAGCTGCAAAAGTAGTGTGCAGTTATCATTCATCAAAGAGAAATTAATTTTTAGACATAAACGGTTGCTTATTCAATCGAGCTAACATGGATGGTTATTTGAGGCCAGAACAGACTACTACTGATGGTATTATCGTTGATAAATCAATGTTTGAAGCTTACACTCAATCTCGTCAGATTGCTCACGACCATCAGGTCGAGGATAAACTTAAAATTCCTCAACTCGTTATCGTCCGTGAGACGAGTTCGGGCAAATCAATGCTGGTTCAAAATTTTCTTCGATTTCTTTGTTCCTTTTCACAAGCGAATATTGCCACCCACTGTCCAGTGGCCTATTGTCTCCGATATAATCCTCAGCTACGAAACGGTGAAATTCGCTTTTTGCAGCCAGTTGGCCTATCCCCTAAAGCTCTTGGTGCTCATTTACAGGAGCTCATGGGTCAAATTCAAGTGTCGCACCGAACTACGGGTGGCTTTCGTTTGGAACCATACATCGTCGAAATTGAAGGTAATGAATATACAGATTTCGAAATACTCGATGTGCCGGGTTTAATCGTCGGCAGTGACAATCCGGAACATCGGGCAGCTGTTGAGAAAATAACCGAACACTATGTTCGAAATCCCAATTTCATGATTGTTCAGTTGAAAGAAGCGAGTCAGTTGAAAGCAAACAATTACGGGGCTCGTCGTGTTCAAGAGCTGTGTACACTAGATCCAGCTCCCTGCGGCTCACCACTACCTCCTCGGTTCGATTATCGTCAACATATGGTTACTGTTCAAACAAAATTTGAAACTTTCGTGCAGAAAAACCAGAATGGAACGGCTGTCAACCAGGAAATAGAAACGTTGAGAGAAGAGTTTGGTGAAACATATTTCGTCAATATGATATTTGATGGATACACGTTTGCTGATCATTCCTACGAAGAAAGCGTGAATTATATCAGTGAGCTACCAGAGTTGGAAAAGCATCAAGTAAACGAGTGGATAATTACAAAACTCAATCGATTAGCAAATGAAGATGAGTCGAGATATCACCCGTTTAATCAGAAATATCGGTCATAGATTGGAATCAATGTGGTACGAAAATAAATTCAAGATTTGTGGGTTAGGGTAAGTTATTTTGAATTTGAAATTCAATAGTAACGTAGGTTATAATAAAAAATACTTTAGAGGATGCAAGTAAATAGCGTGC